GGGTTGGGTAAATTGGGATAGTTGGTCTCCCACACCTAGAAGGGCTTGGGTAAAAAAAAATTGTAATCTACAAAGAGGTTCTGGATATTAAGAAGGAGGTTGTTTGGCTATATGAAAGCAGGCAACACTCCTTAAAAAAACGTATGTTTTTGGATTTTTAGGGAATGGTTTGAGGAGACATTGTTATTGTTTATGGTCTGAGGAGACCCTTTGATTTATTAACAGAATTTGTGGAGTTTTGGAGTTTTTTATTGTTGTGTGACAGATTATGGCAGATTCAGGTCCTCGACTGTTAATTCTCTTGGCTCAAGTTTTGTGGGTGGTGGTGCCATTTTTTCCACCAACTCATTAGAAAATCCAGGACTTCAAATCACCACAGTGAAGTTGGATGGTTCCAGTTCAAACTATTTGATTTGGGCATAGTCTGCTAAGATGTTTATTGGTGGCAAAGGCAAGATTGACTATATTATTGGTTCTAAGAAAGGGCCAGCTGAGTCAGAGAAGGCATATCCACAGTGGTTTGCAGATAACGCTATGGTTATGTCTTGGCTAGTCAATTCGATGCAATCAAACATAGCTGTCGGTTATATGTTTATGAAGATTGCTAAGCAGATTTGGGATTCGGTTCAACGCTTTTATTCTCAAAGGCAGAATAATGCACAGATTTTCCAACTGGGGCGAGATATCACCATGATTTCTCAAGGTGACTTGACAATTTCAAGTTACATCGCCAAGCTTCGTATTATTTGGGAGGAGATGTCATTTAATGATTCCTTCCACTCTTGGAAGGATCCAAATGATGCAGTTTTATATGCAGGGATTGCGGAGAAGAATTGAGTGTTTCAGTTTCTTACCGGGTCGAACGATGAGTTTGAGTATGCTCGTGTTCATTTATTAGGCTTATCTTCATTCCCTACTCTTGAGGATGCATATTCCTATGTGTTGTCAGATGAGAGCCGTCGGACTCATCCATTAGGTGTTGCTTCTGTTGATCATTCTGCTATGGCAGTTCGGATTCCCAACCTTTCAAGAACTGCACCATCCCAGTTAGTTCAGAGCTCTACCACAGGTCCTCCTCTGGGACGATAATGTGGATGGTGTGACCATTGCGGAAAAATTGGTCACATCAAATCTCGTTGTTTTGTTCTACATGGACGCCCACAGCAACATAAACAACAACCTCGATCCTCTGCACAATCTGTTACACAACCAGTCTCGTTGTCAACTCCTGGCAACTCTGCCTTTACATCTTCTGCCACAGTTACCTTGACTCGAGCTGATTTGGACAAGTTCAAACAATTCTTCAACCAAATGGAGGCATCATCTCAGCCAACCTTCACTTATGCCCACTCAGGTACTATTGCGTTTGCACATAGCGTATCTGCATCTTCGACACCATGGATCATTGATTCTGGTGCTTTAGATAATATGACTGATATGTCCCTATTATTCCAATCTTATAGTATCTACTCTGGCCATTGCAAGGTACGCCTTGCGGATGGCTCTCCATCTTCCATTGCTGGGAAGGGTCATATATCAGTTACTCCTTCATTAACTTTGTTAGACACACTTCATGTTCCACAGTTGACTACAAATCTTATTTCTGTTAGTAACGTTACCAAACAATTAAATTGTGGTGTAACGTTCTTTCCCTCTCATTGTATTTTTCAGGATCTGGTGTCGAAACGGACGATTGGCAGTGGGCGTGAAGTGGACGGTCTATACCTGTTGGATGCTCCTTTGTCACCTTAAGCACATTCAGCTTCATTTTCTAATTTTGTTTCATCTAATAAAGCCCAGCTTATGCGTTTGGGTAATTTAATATTTATTCCTTCCTTATTTTTTAACGTGGTAGTATCAAATTTATCCTGTGAGACATGTCATATGGCTAAACATATTCGTTCCAATTATCCTGCTAGTAGTAATAAATCTGCTTTAACACCTTTTGATCTTGTTCATTCAGATGTGTGGGGTCCTTGCCCAGTTACTTTTAGTCTTGGATTTCGATATTTCGTGGTGTTCATTGAGGATCATAGTCGTGTTACATGGCACATCTTATGAAAACCAAAAATGAGGTGTACACCATTTTTAAAAATTTTATGACAATGGTTCAGACTCAATATGGTCGTACCATTAAAAAATTCAGATCTGACTAGGGTACTGAGTACACTTATGGGGAGGTACAGCGGTTATGTACAGAATTTGGGATTGAGCATCAGATGGCTAATGTTAAAACTCCTCAACAGAATGGCCGTTTTGAGAGAAAGAATCGCTACATCCTTGACCTAGTCAGAGCAATGTGCATTGGCATGAATGTTCCCCCAGTCATTTTGGGGAGATGCAGTTCTTACAACTGTTTACATCATGGTTATCAAAATCGCGATTTCGGGTCGTAGAATCGCACGATTCCATGAACTAACATGCCTAAATCGATCCGAATCGCATAGAAATCGTAGCTTGTGCAGAATCGCGGGTAGAATTGTGGGATCGTACGATTCTTTACGATCCCAGCGATTCTGAATCACTCCATATTTGTGGTCTTGTTTTGGGTAGAAGAAGCCTTAGATTGATTACAGACTTTACGGTTCTTCTCTTTCGCGATCGACAAAGCAACTCCAATGAAGAGATAAGTTGCTTGAGGAAAAAAAAAGGAGGAAAAAAAGAGTTGCTAGGGTTTTAGGTGAAGAAGAAGAAGAAGCAGAGGAGGAGGAGAGAGAGGGAACAAGGTCGAAACTAAGAGAGCTTACCTGAGAAAGGCGAGAGGAGTTGTCGCTGATCTTTGCGTGTCGGCTGATTTCGTAGACTTGTACCATAGATAGACAAAAGATGTATACTTGACCTTAAATCTATAAACTTACCATATTACCCTTCTTGATATATTAAAGGCACTATGTTATATATATATTTTGTGCTTTGGCTTATTCTCTATTTATTTTAAGGATAATTTTTGTTTACAAAGCTAGTTTGAGTTGTATTTTTATTAGTTTGGTAGAATCTTATGATTCACAATCCGATTCTACGATTCTGATTCTACGAAGTCCAAAACGATTCCACGTAGAATATCTGTTTTAACAACCTTGGTTTACATCATTCGTAGGACTCCTTCTAGGGTTCTTAACTTTGCAGCCCCACTCTCAATCTTACATCCCAATTCATCTCTTTTTTTTGATTCCTCCGCGAGTTTTCGGGTGTGTGTGCTTTGTTCAGCAGTTGGGGCAGACTCGTACAAAGCGGTTATTCTCACTCTCAAAAAGGTTATAGGTGTTACCATCCTCCCAGTTGTCAGCAGTTTATATCCATGGATGTTTCTTTCTTTGAGCATACACCATACTATAGTGGTTCAGTTGGTTCTCAAAGTGAATGGTTCCCATTGAATCTCATTTGATGAGATTTAATGGGTGAACTCCTCTACTCTTGTGAAAAGTCTTAAAACATGTTAGTTTTGTATTACCTTTTTTAAGGAATGGGATTCCCATACAAATTTAGCATATGTTATTATTAATTAGATAAATAATGTAAAGACAAAAAGACAAAAACAAAAATAAATACCAACGGGCTAGTGGCCTAGTGGTATCAGCCTCTTACTTCCCAAAGGGAGGTCTGGGTTCAAGTCTTAGAAGAGGCATGTGTGTGTGAGTACCAACTAAGAAAAAAAAAATAATTTAATTCATGTTAAAGTGGATAAAATAAGTAAAAATTATTTTTTGTACATATAAAAAAATAAAATCTTATTATGACTTAACCCTCCAAATTTGTAACTTAAAAAAAAAAAAAAAAAAAAAAAAAAAAAATTATTGTGTTTTGTCATACTTGTGCCCCATTTTCATATTATCTTTTTTTATCTGTTAGAAATCAGTCGAGTCATGGTGTACCGCCCAAGTCCTGAGATCATGATTGATTATAATGAGCAAAAAGTACATTAGCGAGGCTGTTGGGATATGAAAAGTCCAAATGGTAGCTCTACAAATGCAACGGTGGACAGACAGTTGCTAATTTTTTATATGAGAACATTATGTAGTTGAATCGATAAAATTTAAGAAAAATAAAAAGGAAAAAGTTTTTTTTTAGTCTGAAATTCGTGATGCCAACATAAATATACATATACATGTCTGTGTGCGTGTGCAATCATGAGGCCATGTTCTTGTGCATATGTAAGTTGGCATTGATGCTATTAAAGGTTATCATTTCCATACAATGCATTTGCATATCAAATATTTTATTCTAATAAATAATTAATTTAATTGACAATATACAAACTAGAAGCATGAGCACAGCATGTATGCATGGGACTTTTTCCTTGAATGGTTGAACCTTTGTCTCAATGTGTATGCATCACATGCATCTTGTGTAATGTCTCTGCCATTGAACCTGTGAAAATGCTGAGCCTTGGGAAAATGAGGCCAAGTCGTTTTATTTAGGAGCTAAAAAGAATATGGCTTCAATACTAGAATTAGGGTTTACAGTAAATTTTCCTTAGCTTCATCAAGTAGAAGTTCCTATGCTGTTTGACACTACTGATTCTTGTTCCTAAGTCCATATTTCCATTTAAATGTTTTTCTCCCTTTTTTCTTTGCTTTTTATTTAGGTGATGTCCTCTTTTATATTTCGATCCTTCACTTCATATTGGCCTTGATTAAATATATTGAAAACTGTAAGTTTTAGAGAGGTCCAAGATGCTGATTTGGTGAGGAATCTATAGTTCAGATAGTTTTCCGAAAAGATTGTTCCACATCTCATTTGATGAAATTCAATGAATGAACTCCTCTACTCTTGTGAAAAGTCTTAAAACATGAAAGTTCATCAAATGTTGTGAATAGGTTTATAACAGTATACCTACCAAAAAATATAAATAAAAAATTTCTAATAGTATATATATTGTGAATCTTGTCTGGATTTCAAAAATCTTACAATCTTGCCAGAGTTCTCTCTCTCTCTTCCCTTCATCATTTCCAGGATAATTCATGAGTTCTTTTTTATGTTTACAATTATCAAATTGGCAGATTTTTGGTTCCATTCTTGGTGTTTCTGCTGGATTTGTGGTGGGTAAAGAGGGACCTATGGTACACACGGGTGCCTGTATAGCCTCTTTACTTGGGCAAGGTGGTTCTCGCAAGTATCATTTGACCTGGACATGGCTAAAATACTTCAAAAATGATAGGGACCGGCGAGACTTGATCACTTGTGGTGCTGCTGCTGGTGTAGCTGCTGCTTTCCGGGCACCAGTGGGTGGCGTCCTCTTTGCACTCGAAGAAGCAGCTTCATGGTACCTTTAATCTCTCCCTCTCGCATACACCTTTCCCTGTTTTTCATGGTGTTTCTGGAAGCGTGGTAAATTTGGATGCATAGACAGGCATCTGATTCCTTCTGATTTGCAAAATTTGTTGCGCTATGAGGTAAATCATGCCTTCCCATGGTGACAACAGTGCAGTTGTTTACATTTAATTACTTGAAAGAACAGGGGAAATTTCCAATGGCAAACATGAGCAAATTTCAGTTAAAAGTAATTGAGTGATCTGGTAACCAACTTGATCAGATTGGTACAGTATTTGTTCTATTATAATTTGGTTTCCTGTTATTAAATTTAAAATATGAAGAGAAATGACAGCATTGTTGAATCACTATCTATTTTGTAGACCTTATGTTGTAATTTTATTTTATATTTTTCTTAAAAAATTAAGTCTTTCAAAAATATGATAAATATGAGTACAGAATGAATTTTGTCCTCTGCTAATTTGCAACTAAAGTAACAAACAGGTAACAAAAATAATAATATGAAATTTCTAATAGCAGAAATGTAATTGTAAAATAAACATATAGATAAAACAAATTAAGATAAACTAAATAGCTAGCAGTATAAGTAGAATTGAATGAGATAGATAAATAAAAGAATCAAATAAAATAAATTAGAGAAACGAACAGGTTGAAGAGCGCATGTGCATGTGACCCAAAGTGCTTAAACACGGGTCACTCAATCAAGCTCAATACAACAAATAGTTTATATAGCCTTTAAACTTCCCATAAAAAATTAATGTGGGCTAAAGGTTTCTGAAAACATTTTATATTTGAACATCTTATTTTTGAGGCACTGTATTTATTAAGTGAGGAATGTTGCTTTTCGTACCTTTCCATGTTGAAGCTTAGGATCTTTCATGATATTAGTCAATATATGTATATCAAGCTTAGCAGCTAACTTCTTTTATTTTATGTTTTTCCTTGGCCGCTGTCCAGGTGGAGGAGTGCTCTTCTTTGGAGAACCTTTTTCACAACAGCTGTTGTTGCTATAGTTTTAAGAGCTTTTATAGAATATTGTTGGACGGGAAAATGTGGGTTATTTGGACAAGGAGGTCTGATTATGTATGATGTTAGTTCAGCAGAGGTATCATATAGTATCCCGGATATACTAGCAGTACTACTCCTTGGAGTTATTGGAGGTATTTTTGGAAGCCTGTATAATTATCTTGTGGACAAGGTCCTTCGCACTTATAGTATCATAAACGAGTATGTCCTCATTCTTTATTACAATTATTAACATTTTTAAATTGGCAAACATCAAAACACTGCACTGATAAAACATTTACTAACATGCCTGCACCATGCATTTATGCTCAATCGTCATCGCTCATCATCACTGGCGTGTTTATCACTTTGTTTTTGAATAAAGCACAAGCTATATGGGCAGGCACGGAATTAATTGAAGCCAGCTGCCCCCACTCAATTATTTTGATATATATTAATTTTATTCTAAAGTAGCCCCCTCTCAAAATTCTTTTTTACTATTATTATTATTTTGTTTGTTTGTTTGTGACTAGGTAAGAGTGTACTCACACACTTCCACCCTTTCCAAACTGGAACACTGAACCTTTTTTTTTTTGAGAGGTGGAGAAGATACCTGATTCCTATCAAGTCAATTTTTGGTGTTAAAATTGAGCTCTCTCTCCACCTTCTTGCCCAACTTGAAGAAGTCTCTCCCATCGGCCTCTATATTTGACTCATTCTCTCATGAAGAGCGGGAGTAATAAAACCCTCCTTTAATCGATTTCTTAACTTTAAACTGATTCACAAGAAACCTAATCCTTTTTTTTTCTGAAGTAATCTTGTCCTTTTCAACAAACTAATACAAAAAATAAAAAATAGTTAGGAAAGTGAGTAGATTTTTGCTAATTCCAATAGGTTGGTAGTTTTGTGAATTGGTTGTTCAAAAGCATTTCGTCCCCACTAGTGTAAATTCTTGTCTATGTCACTGTATATGTGCCCCCTGAATGGTAGTGGTATTGATCATTTTCTTTATCCAAATCACAGAGTGATGAAGGCATCTATGATGATGTTGATTTTCAAATACGTCAAATCTACTAAATGTACATTGTTCTCTGTTATTAAATTCTACTAAACCACTGGTTTTCTTCTTGCTGCAGAAGAGGTGCTGTTTACAAAATTTTACTTGTTGTCACCGTCGCCTTCGTGACATCATGTTGTGCCTTTGGCCTGCCATGGTTTGCAAAGTGCATCGCTTGCCCTCGTAATTTGACGGTAACCTGCCCCTCTGTTGATGGATCTGGCAACTTTAAAAGCTTCCAATGCGAATCAGGCTATTACAATGACCTTGCCTCCCTCTTCCTAAATACTAATGATGATGCTATACGCAACTTATTCAGTACCAGCACCGAGAATGAATTTCGTATTTCCACTCTTATCATCTTCTTTTTTGCTGTCTACTGTCTTGGTGTTATCACTTATGGAATTGCTATCCCCTCTGGGCTCTTCATCCCAGTTATATTAGCTGGAGCTTCCTATGGTCGTCTTGTTGGGAGGCTCTTTGTATCAATCTCTAAACTTGACATGGGTCTCTTTGCCCTCCTAGGAGCTGCCTCTTTTCTTGGTGGCACCATGAGAATGACAGTTTCCCTTTGTGTTATACTTCTTGAGCTCACCAATGACCTATTATTGCTTCCCCTTGTGATGCTGGTTCTCCTTATCTCGAAAACCATTGCTGATTGTTTCAATAAAGGTGTCTATGATCAAATAGTTAAATTGAAGGGATTGCCCTATTTGGAGGCCCATGTAGAACCTTACATGAAGCATTTGTTTGCACGTGATGTTGTTACTGGTCCATTGATGACCTTTTCCGGTGTTGAAAAGGTGGAAACCATAATACATGCCTTGAGGACTACAGGGCATAATGGATTCCCTGTTATTGACGAGCCACCTTTCTCAGATGCACCAGAATTGTGTGGGCTCGTTTTGAGGTCTCACATACTTGTTTTGCTCAACAAAAAGAACTTCTCAAGGGATAGGGTGCTTACTGGGGAAGAAAACTTGAAGAGGTTTTTCGCATTTGATTTTGCTAAAGCTGGATCAGGAAAGGGGCTCAAATTGGAGGATTTGGATATTGATGAAGACGAGATGGAGATGTATGTTGATCTACATCCAATTACTAATGCATCACCATACACAGTGGTTGAGACAATGTCACTGGCTAAAGCTGCAATTCTATTTCGCCAACTTGGTCTCAGGCATATGTGCGTCGTACCAAAGACTCAAGGGGTATGATCCTCTCTCTCCCCCTATATCTATCTTTCTATATCACACATATATGGATGCATGAGTGCTGGGGGCTCACATGCATATATTGTGGAATCAGGTTCCCTTTGATTGGGTTGGGTAAGTGAAAAAGGTCTCCTTTGGTTCTAGTCAGCTAGGTGGTTATACATTGACATGCAATTGAATCAATTGACAGCATATTCTTTTTTTACTTTGGTTTTGCTTCTTGTCTCACTTTCGAAGGACTGACTTCAATTTCCATCCACTGGTCGTTCCTTGTATCTTCTCCCTCAAGGAAATATAGAAAGTTTCATAAATGACCTTGTATCTGACCATTCCTTATTTTATCTTCCTTCACCTTTATAGGTAATTTGCACACATTCAATTCTCTCTCTCTCTCTCTCTCTCTCTCACACACACACACACACACACACACACACACACACACACACACGATTGCCCACTAGGGTACTTGAACCCTCAACCTTCTGTTTGGAAAGAGGAGATACTATTTGAGCTTGAGACTAAGTGGTTTCATCTTGTTTTTCTTCCCCAAGGAAATCATATAAAAACTCCATTTATCCTTTAAATTCCTTCAAGTTCATCTGCAATTTAATAATTATGCAAACTTTTTGACTCTCATTGCAGAGGCATCCAATCGTTGGAATTTTGACGCGACATGACTTCATGCCGGAGCATGTATTGGGGCTCTACCCCCGAATCAAAAGTCTCAAGTAAGGATGATGAGCCATGCTGAATGTTTTGGTGTTTTATGTCACATTGTTTGATTTGTGGGTGATTTAGGCGGCATTTGTAACATTCAAGTCAATTCAACCGTAATGAGCGCAACACGAATAAGAAGGAAGTTCTTGAGACTCTAGAAGCCATCCCGTATACTTCATACTCATCAACAGTTCAAATCGCATGACGAATACAATTGTCCAAATGTAAATTCACGTAAAATGAACAGAATAGTTTCATTTTTGAGTGTTTGAACACTCGAGTACTTGATCATTTTGTTCTTTGTGTGCCATTTTAATAAAACTCAGTGTTTGATCATTTTGTTCTCTGTGTGCCATTTTAATAAAACTCTGTTTGAACACTCGAGTGTTTGAACACTGGAGTACTTGATCATTTTGTTCTTTGTGTGCCATTTTAATAAAACTCAGTTATTTAAATGATTAGTTTTGTGACATCAAGATTAATCTGTATATTTTTTTGTCAATCATGTTACGTTAGGAGAACCGTGTTCAGGGCCTCCCAAATTCCCAATGGTTGTCAACTTGTAAAGCCAAAACATGTAAATATTTTTTGTATGTATTCGATTTTGATTTTGACGTCACCGAATCAGAGTTTCAACTAATTTTTTTTCATTTCTAATTTCACGGTGAATTATTATTATTTTTTCATTTTTAATTTCAATTTGAAAGCACCGACGAGTGTTTCCAAATTTTCGTCCGTATATTTCTTGCAATCGGTTCAGCTTTTGAATTTCTCTTTACATGATACACTCTCTTCGCCAATCAAAACCACAGCATTTGTGCCAATACAAACACACTACTACCTCCCCTGCGATATGCGTGCGCCATCACATTCAGTTTCAAGCCAACTTATATTCCACTACAATTATTGTTGGAATCGGGTCAGATAAATGGCAATATATCCGATGTTTAGAGGAGATAATCACATAAATATAAATATGTGATAAATAATAATATTTGGAAACATACATAAAAAATTAAATATAATTTCAAATCAAGGCTTAGAGACGCGTAATCGTTTCTTGAAAATAATTGAAGCCTCTCTTAGGTGCAATCGGAATATCAAATGGCTGTACACTATTTTCGGGATTCAAGTAAGCCAAATTTAACAATCTGTATGTTTATAGAGTGACACAGGGGCGGAGCTAGGATTTTGTGGTTGGGGGGCAAACTTTGAAGGAATCATAAGACTAATTCAAGCAAAAAAAAAAAAAAAAAAAAAAAAAAAAAAAAAAAAAAAAAAAATTATTATTCATTATATTCATACAAACATATATCTAGCCAAAATTTTTCCAATTTTTTTTTTAAAAAAGAAAGCAATTTAAAGAAGGTATTTATTTTATTTTTTTATCAAGCTTCCCTAACACAAATAAGATTTAAGTCAAAATTTATAGAAGTTTCAAGTAAACAATTTGACTATAATTTATAAACAAATACGAATTTGATGTTGTAATAATACAAATTAATAATCTAGCAAAAAATGAAACGCATAATGTGTAATACATATTAAACTATCCATCTTTGATTATTTTCAATTATCAAATAATAGTATAATTGTATAAAGATAATAATTCAAAAGTGATGCCTCTAATTCAGAGGTTCTTTACACCAATCTTCGCCAAATATGAGCAAGAGTACTCCGTTTGAACCAATTACCAGTTTTATACTTTGAGCTACATAAAAATAAAAAAGTAAATGTTGAATTTTTAAAATATATATATATATATATATATATATATATATATATATTATATGTATAAAAAAAATATGATTATATACTCCCTCCATTCCAAAATGGCATAGTTCTCAAATCAGACAATTATTTTGGAACAGATGGAGTAATTTATATGGTATTCGAGGATCTGACCAATTTATTACTCACTTTTGATCTCAACTCAAAAGTGAGATTCTTTTGATTTTGCAAGTTGGAACTGAATATTTGAATCAATTAATAAAATTTGGGGTAAAGTATATATATTGAAAAAATGAGATTTTTGTTTAATTGATTGATAATATTATATACTCTAAGTTATATATATATATATATATTCCTAAACCACTGGTTTAGAAATAATGTACAGAAGAGTATTTGAAAAAAATAAATAAATTAATATTGACAGAAGCTTCAAACTGAAAGCAAAGGAGAAGATAAAAAGAAAAAGAAAGGAACTTACATATTCACATCCGTTTTACCTTATTATAAAAAATAAAGTTAAAATTCTTAGTTAGGCATCAACTTGAAACAACTAACCTATCACTATCTGACAATCAGCGTATACAACAAGTGTACAAAGCTTCAGTATATTATATATCTATATATATATATACACAAAATCTTATTATATTGCAAATGAATTTGAGCCTAAATTTGTTAAAGGCCCTTTAGAGAAAAAATAATTTTGGGAGGGGGGCAATTATAGACCATCATATACAATTTTTCTTTTTTCCTATATTAATTTTTTGAGTTAATTTCAGTGGCACTCTCTCAAGTTTGACCAAATATCACTTTAAAACATTTGTTCTATCTTTTAACATTTGTTCCGTCTTTCAGGAGTGTCAAGAGTACTTTTGACATGTAAAATGACATTATTACCCATTTGACTTTGTGTTAACTTATTAAAGGATTTTTAATGTATAAAATGACATTTATGCCCCCATTGAACCGGTGAAATATGTTGAGCTAATGTCCCTTTCTCCCTCTTCTGCGTATTATCCAAAACATCCAAAGAAGCATGGGTTTTGAAATCTCAAATCTCCCAAGTTATTTTGACATCTAAATTCAATGACAAGCTATTAAAATGATATATATCAGTTCAATTATATTACAAAAGAATAAAAAAAAAATCTGTGTGTTAAAATCAGTTACAAGCACCTACCATCTCTTTATCATAATTCAGAAGCAATTTCGTTGTACATGAAAATGATGACACAAGCGAATTTTTTTTGCAATCCGCCCCAAAAAAGCTCAGGAAGAGCTTTATCACACTCAACTTGAGCATTCTTTAATGTCTTACAAAAACAAGCGAGCCCCAAAAAAACAAAAACCTTAGCTTGATTTCTTTTTCTACAAAATCCATCTTGGAACCTCGCCAACACTCCTTATTAAATCTTAAATACAGTTGCAAATTCCTATACCCCATTAATACATATCTATCAATATGGTCTTTAAAGTGCTGGAATTGTGAAATTGGATAGATGAGGACGGGATGGAAATAGAATTGAGAATTCTAAATTCATTCCAGAATCGCCGGCCTTGGTTTCTCTCACCAAACTCCACCACCAAAAGCCACCCATGTGCAAAGCTGAATAAGAGAAGAAAATACAAGACGAGCTCGGACTCGCAATCTACTCACCGAATCTTCAACAATTACGTACTTCAAATCAGCGATATGTAAGCTAGTCAGCAGGTGCTGAGGCCTCACGAGCTTCTCACCTTCGCCGACCTCTACTCCTTCACCACCAGTTTTAGTCCCTTTACTTGCATGTTTTATTATCTTAATGGTAGTTTATTTGAGATTTTACATTGTTTTATTATTTTTATTTATTTCAGGGCTTTAATTGTAAATTCAGTCAAGACCAGTAATTCTGAGCTTTACAAGATGACTTTTCGTGGGACCGAGCAATGTTGAAGATCCAAGTCTAATTATACTTAGAAATTTGTTTAAAAGAAGTTACAAGTTGATGAGAATGTAAAGAAGAAGAAAAGGAAAAATCCTTCTCCAAAAAGGATTTGTCGCCAAAGTTGGTAATTTAAACCCATTTTGGTAATCTGGCTGTATCTCTCTCATCGAGTGTCAAAATGGCTAAATTTTTAGGTAGGTTGATAGGAAATTCGAAGAGCTACAATTTTGTGTTTCACGAGCTTTTTCTAAAACAGCTGTTTACCTTGTCAAAATTGGCCTAGAAGTTTGCACAAATTTTGGGAGTCCTTATCGATAGAATTTCTATGTATGTCTCCTATATGAAAAATGGAACTTTAGGGCTGATCTTTTATTATTTAAAGGAGGTCCTCTACAACATTGAGGGAGGATACAGAGGAGCTTGAGGTTGAGATCAGAGAGGAGCAGTTAGAAGAAAGAAGAGATTGATCCATGGCGGTGAAGATGTCTTCCTCAACCATGAAGAATTTCACTCCAGTCATGCTTGGCTAAACGCTTTGCTAAGGTTGTGATGTAGCCCTAGCTTAGCACACTGGTTTGATTGTATTTAATTATTGGAGAATAATTTTTATCATGCATGATTGTGTAATCTATAGGATTTTTAATTAATTTTTCCATAAGAATCGGTTTTAAAGTTTTAATTCAATTACAAATATTTTTCTATTTTGTCTTAGATATTTGAATCTTGTAATTGAACACAACTCATTCACTTTTTGTAGTTGTGAATGAGATGATTACACAATGGTATTTCTCTGAATATAATGTTAGAGATTTGATGGATTATGCCTAGGAAAGATAGACCATGCTACATCCTAGAGTAAAGTAGTTAGGTAGATGGTTTATACCAATCGAAGATAGTCCATGCTTAGCTTTAAATTATATTATTCTCTAACTGAATTAATATGTGCTTGTAGCCATGATTAATTCCCTGTGCATGTTATATCATATATCTTCAATAAATTGATGCAATTGACAGGTGGTGCGACGTTAGTGGGGAAATCATACCCCTCTCTATTTTCTACATCTTATTTAATCATTGTTCTTTAGTTTTTATTTTTTTATTTTTTTTTATTTAGTTAATTTAGAATTAATCATCACGATTCGGTTATCATACTTTCAAGTTAATTTGGAATTTTAGAAATCTGTTGACAAACTTATTTTACACAAGTCCATTGGGTACGACACCCTTACAAGTAAACCTTATCTACAAAGATTCGTGCACTTGCGAGTGGTATATATAAATCTCATAACAACCAGCGCATATAAGTGTAGAAGAGATCATCCTCGATCCGATCTGATCTAGTGAAAAGTCCCTGACGGGCTGCGGGCATCGATCCATCCAAACAGTAACCACTCTGTTGCTTTTTTTTTTTTTTGTTTTTGTTTTTTTTCTTCTTTAAATTGGCTATGACTTACTTAATATATAAATCTGTGTGTATATATATATATATAATTGTTGTATATATCAATACAGGAAGCTCATGTTTTCAGTGGGGTGAGAGAGACGAAGAGTTTTGACTTTTGGGGTTTAAATATTGAGGGTAAAATAGTTATTTTAGGGTGCTCATATTTTAAAATAAAAAATTAGGGGTAAAATTGTCTTTTTCAAGTTTTTAACGGTTTTGTGACGGAAAAACAAAATTGAACCTAAGTGGTAGTAATTCTCGAAAGATGTTTTAAGG